AAACAGTACATACATATAAAACCAGTACATATTGCTTTTAAAATGATGTTTGCTAAATCTCTGGATAGGAGGTTTGGCAGTTAAAATTAAAACCACATTATATATAACTGATATGTACTTACTGTGTGTGTGTGTGTATGTGTGTGTGTGTGTTAATCTCTCATTTTATTATTCTTATTTTACGATATAATTTCACTAGTTATTTTTTCTTCATTATAAAGCTATTTATCTGTTCTACAAATAGTTATTGAGCACTTATTATCTATTTGGAAGCCAGAACCATACTAAGTTCTGTAGCAAATAGACCCTATGCCATCATTTTTGTTAAGTTTCTAACGCACAGAATGGGAAAAGAACCTGAACAGTTTTCTTGAGAATATGTTGCTTCAAAACATTTTATTTCTGTCATGGAGGATAATATATTTATAGTACCAGAAAAATCTAATTTTTAAAGGTAAAAGGAAGACTTTCTCTCAATTTAGATACTCAAGAATTTAACTAAATTCCAGAAGCATGCACGGTAAAATCCATGAGCGACTTCTTAATACATTTTAAATTCCTAAATAAATGCTTGGCAATGGATGCTGTGTAGTCATTTTAACAACAAATGACTCTAATGCCTTTGACTGTTGTCTCGATGCTGAAATGCCAAATAGAAGCAAAATATTGCCAGAAGCATAATGGGAGAAAAACACTGCCTTCTTAACTAGCTCTGTGGTTGTAAAATGAGGAAAAACATATTATTTTCTAACATGCAATTTGCCATTTTTTTTTTCACTTTGTGCAGCAAGAAAAGTAGCTGGGTTTAAGAAAGCATGGTTCCTTTTGCCTATACTGTGCAGGAGATTTACTAAGACACAGCACTACTTATTAGAATAGAGGATAAATTAAAAAGCAAGTTATTGATGTCTAAGCCAAAATCAGTTAAGCTGTGGTTAAACAAGGACACCAAACACAAAAGAGAGAAAACAGAGGAACCATAGTGTTAGAAAAGAAAGACCAGAAATAAAAGGAAAGCTTAATGGAATCAAATTATGGGTAGTAGGTGGTATGGGAGTGGGGAGGAGATGGTGAGTAAAACGTAGATACATTTTATTTATTAGAGACTAGGTGTAGCATGGCCAACTCTTGGATCCTGCACTTTTATTGATTTCATTCTTTTCTATGTGGCTTTCTGCATATCAGCTACAACAGTTCAAGTTGTGAAAATGATTGACTACTAATGGATATTTTATCAAATGGGTCTATTAAAACAGAAGCTATTTTTACCCCAAAATAGACTCCAACTAAAACATCTAGTAAAAGTAATTGATCATGGACCAGCCACAATCATTTCTGCTTAAAACACAGTAATTTGATATACTCATAAGTGAGAGTGTGGTTAATGGATATGTCTGAAATGCATCATGTGATCACCTTGGAAATATTTCTGTCATCTAAGAACTACAAATCCTAATTGATTTGTTCACTTTGGAATGACAAAACCATACTGTACCTTTTGCTTTTAAATTAAGCTTCTATAATCCCTCTCTGACATGCTTTTTTTCTTACTAGATCAATAAAATGAAAGTAATTCTGAAGCAAATGGAGCCTACAGACCATCTCTAAGGAATTCCAAATAGGTCCATTAGAAAATGTAGTTAAAATTCAATAGGTTGTTGGTAGAACAATTGATTTGGAATTCCACATTTTAAATATGAACTATTTATTATTCTGATTAGAAATTTTTTCACATAAAGTTCCTCCATTTGAATAAGATCATTTTCAAGGTACTGTAAAACTGATTGAGCATTACTTTGAAAGTCTTGAACATGTATTTTCTCTCCCTTTAAATTTGGTTGTGCCATTTTAAGTTTTACACTTGATATTCTGCAAAATGAAATTAAAACATCTTTAACCATCTGGTAATTTTGTGGATAATTTAGCCTAAAACTACATGTGGCAGTTTATTTCAAAGTAGTTCCCATTAAATTCTGACCTTTAAGTATTGGGACTCCATTTTTTAAATATAAAAGTGTTGTAATTACATATTTCTAGTTGTCCTAAGGCTTTAACTATAATTGAGGTAACTATTCAATAAAAAATATAATTTTAGGCTCTTTATTATTGTGGAACTGCTGTTGCCTACATGTGGTAGGTCAAAATGGTTAACCAATAGATGAACCAGGGGGGTATCTGTGAGGAATACACACAGATGGTTTTTTACAGATTTTATTCAATTTATATTTGCTTTTTCACTGGAAAAGACCTTGCAGCCTTCATAAACTTTCATAGCCCCTTGGTAATTCTGATACAGTGTGGGCCCTCAGAATATATCCAGAAAGCTAATGAGGTCATTTATAATAGCAAATTTTCTATGATATATTTACTTATATCTACTGTAAAAACATTTGAAAATAATGATAAAGGAAAAAAGAAAAAAACATGTGCAATATTAACTAAGAAATTTCAGGGGAATGTTATTTTTCTTTAATTAATATAGAGGGAATGATTCAAGGAAATTATCATTTCAGCTTGAATTGCTATAGCAGTCTAGCACAGGGAAGAGCAGAACATAAAGAATAACTTCAAACAAGGTTGAAATAATCACTCAAGTGTTGCTGGGAATAGGAGAATTCCATGCAGGAGCATGAACATAGACTTGATTTCAGAGCCATACTACATATACTTAGTAGTTAAGATAGCTATGCAAAATGTAAGGTATTAATACATTTTACTATTTTTTTTAATTGATATCAGAGAGGAAGGCAGATGGAGAGTGAGATAGAAACATCAATGATGAGAGAGAATCATTTATAGACTGCCTCCTGCATGCCCACACTGGGGATTGAACCCTCAACCCAGGAATATGCCCTGACCAGGAATTAAATGAAACGTGACCTCCTAGCTCATAGGTCAGTGCTTAACCCCTGAGCCATGCCAGCCAGGCTACACTTTTACTGTTAATAAGATAATGGAAAGTAGTGTTTAATGGGGAGAGGGAGGCAGTCATTTAAATGTATAACTATCATATTCTCTCATTTTTAGCTTAGAAATTCTAAATAATAAAAGCCTAATATGCAAATCGACCGAACGGCAGAACAACTGGTTGCTATGACACATACTGACCACACTCAACACAGGAGCTGCCCCAGCTGGCAGGCCCCAGGCCAGCCAAGATGGGTGACAGCGGGGCCCCCCCCCCGATCACTCCGCTGGTCGCCCTGCAGAGGGAGGTGACTGGGGCAGTGGCGGGGGGGGGGGGGGGCTGGTGAGAGGGTGGTGCCAGGCCAGCCAAGGCGGGTGCCAGTGAGGGCCTCCCAATCGCCCCATAGGTTACCCCACAGATTGGCCCTGATTGCCGGCCAGGCCTAGTGCACCTGTGCACGAATTTCGTGCACCAGGCCTCTAGTTATATATAAAACTACAGTTGGAACAAGACTCAAAGCATCTTGGTGGAAAGGTCTGTGATACAGCTTGAACAATATGCAAAGAACAATGGTACTCAAGTTAGCAGTAGAATTAGAACATCATGGTTTCATATGGCTAGTATTTTTATATCTTTTCTGGAAAAGCAAATACATACATACATACATACATACATACTTACATACATAAATCTAAGATAAACTTTACCAGAATAATTCTTTCATCTACAAGTTATTTTATTTAAAATTACCAATTGTTAGAGAAACAAGTAAATTCTTTCTTGAAGAGGCAGAAGTTAATTCATAAATTCTTTGATTGTTTTTCTTTCCTGATAATGTTCTGTAGCATGTCACTATGACATATATGCAAAAATATATACACAGTTTGTATTTGTACATAAATATTCACTTGTATATGTGTTATTACACTAAATCTTTAACCACAACTATATATTGCTACCTTCAAAAGGAAAATGTCATCATGGTAATGATTAGTATTTGTGTATGAGTATAACCAAGAGAATTATGTGACCAAATTGCTTCCACAATTCATACTATGAAGATATTTTTATGACTCATTCACATTTAATTTTGAGTGTCAGACTCTGTTTTCAGGATTTATTTTTCTTCTGCTGTACTCTATTTAATAATGGGAGTACACACATTGAGCCACCTATCTGAAAACATCTACATTAATAAAAGAGAAACATGCAAATTGGTGTCACTCCACTACGCCTACCAGCCAATCAGGATGAGTATGCAAATTAACTCAACAAAGATGGCATTTAATTTGCACATGCAGGCGCGGAGTGAAGACTGAAGACAACTGAAGACTGAAGAGGGTTGACTTCTCTGCTGCAGCCACAGCGGAGAAGCCTAGCCTCGCTGCTGCGGCCCGAGTGGAGAAGCCTAGCCTCAAGGCTTGGCTTCTCCGCTGCAGCCAGACCAAAGGCCTGGGTCCTGGGTGCCAGAGGAAAACCAGTGCCGGCAGCCAGGGGAAGGAAGGCCTATTGTGCGAATCTTCGTGCAACAGGCCTCTAGTCAAATTATAACAATGTATATATTTTGCTTATGGTTAAATTTAATAACAAAGAAATATTAAAATTCATCCCTGTTCTACAGGCAGGATGCTAATTTAATAGTCAATTATGTGTTTGGTAATTTCCATTCTGAGGTCCAACATAGGAGTTGAAAAGTTTCTCATTACAGCAAATAATTGCCTGCATTTTTAAAATGTCAAGGTCTGGGAATAATTTCTGTCAAATAATAGAACATGACAAAAACTATTTGACCTGACCAGGTAGCTCAGTTGTTTGGATCATAGTGCCCATATGGCAAGGTTGCAGGTTGGATTCCCTGTCAGGGCACATAAAAGGATCAACAAATAAATTCATAAATAAGTGGAACAACAAATCTCTCTCTCTCTCTCTTTCTGAAATAAATAAAAACAAATTTGAAAAATGATGAGGTATATTCACTATTCTGTCTTTGCACAAAGGAAATACAGACTAATGGTAAGAGATGTGGTCTTAATATTTCAGTTTTGTATTTTTATTATGATCAGAATTAGAGTTTCTCTCTAGCCCAATACTGTTCTATAGCTTGTGAATTTTTCATTCCTGACACTACATTTCCTCTCTTGTGCCTAACAACATTACTAATCTCTGTTCATTCTTAATAAGTTGGTTCTAGATTTTCTCAGATCAAATGTTTCCAAATAAAGGCAATTTTTCCCCTGCAATTTTTGTCATTAAAATCTTTTTTTTTTCTAATTAGATCTTCTATATACAGAGTTAGCATGAAAGACTGCTGAAATTAATCAAATTCTCCTATTTTGAGGTCATCTTTTTATGGCTTAGCCTTGAGGGACCCAAAACATTGGGCTTCTGTCATAATCTCTATTATCTCTGGCCTCAAAAAGCTGAAGAGAGAGTAAATGAGTCAGCTAAGGCCTCCCTTGTCCTAATACTGGTATAGTGCAAGGAGAAAAATCTGCATTCCAACCTCTGTATGTTATAAGAATCAAAAATAACCAGAGAAGTTATCTAATAACAACACATTAAAGTGGCTAAGTACTAGAACTGAATTGTCCAATACAGTAGCCACTAGATATATAAAGCTATTAAGCATTTAAATTTGGTTACTGTGACTGAGACTACATTTTATTTTATTTGATGAACATTTGGTGACCTAATTGCAATGTGCTTTAAGGGTAATACATACAGTTAGTTTGAATAACATAACATAAAATTAGGTATCTTAATTTTTATGTTGACTGCATATTAACATGATGCTTTTTAATATAATCTAAGATTTGGCTGGCATGGTTTGTGTAGTCTTTATAGAATTGTTCTAAAATGAGAGTTTTAAAATAAGAGTGCAGAAATGAAAAGTACTTGTCTTTCTGTCAACAAGAGAATATGATATCTTAGGGGTGGAGGTGTGTCTTTGTGCAAAGCACTTCTAATATTTGATAAAATACAAAGTCATACTTTTAAAAGGCACTGTTGAGCAGTTAATTACATAAAGGAAATCTTCACAGATTCCAAAGAATAAAAAAAAAGCAGAAATTCAGAAAGGCAAACAAGCCCTCTAGACATTAAATACATAGACTATCAGCCAAGCTTTGCATTCCTGGATTAGGAGCCATAAAACACTAGTAGGGACACTTAAATGGTAATTTTGACAAACTGCTAGAGGCTGATTGTGGACTAGCATGAGAAATCTCGGGGCCTTCATCTTGGGAAGTCTACAATTTTGTGAGTTTTACTTCTAGGAACTCCAACAGACTCCTGCATTGAAGAACCAGGAAAGATTTCTTCCTGGATCTGGCAAGGTGATGGAAAAATCAACCATTGAGAAATAAACACAAAGCATCCCTTCTAACATGAGAAATGGGAAAAAGTCTTTATCAGAGCATGAATTCACCTAGGGGAAGAGCTTTTACCTGACTCCATTTACCTCTAGGCTAAAGCTAAGGGAGGGCATAAGCTAAGAAGCACTTGTTATAAAACATCACAACCCAAGGACACAGGATAACTAAAATGCACCAATGTAATCACAAGATTATAGTGAGGAGACAGAAGAAAGCTAGGTAGATAGGGTTGGGACCACGGGAAGGGAAATTAAAACCCAAGAACCCAACTAGATGGAGTTACTAAGACACCCCAACTGGGTGGGAAGAAAGGGCACACAAGTCAGAGGCATGAATTTTAAAATGTTTGGGTATTGCTAAGACAAGCAGCATGCAGATAACCAATCACAAGGCAGTAAGGCATATAAACCAATCCCAAGGATATTGCCAAAGCAGAATTCTCTCAGAATTAGGAGATTGTAAAATGGTACTCACCCCCAAAATTAAATGGTGTGTGCTTCCTCTCAAGCTCTTTCTCTTCTCCCAGAATACAATGGGTTCCTGACGTTCACTCTTGTGGCAGGGGAGCACATTCCCGCACCCACGTGGCTTATGGCCATGTGGGCCTCCACACATGGACTATTAGACTTTAATTAGCTTTGATACTAAACTACTCCCAACTGTAATATGGAAAGGAAGCTCCGGGCACTGGCCTGCTTCGGGAGCCCCAGTTGCTCCTCTTCTAAGACTGGTTTCTCCCAATAAACTTTGGTTCTATTAATTGTTTTTGTCCACGACTTCATTCTTTGATTTTTGTGACACAAGAACTCGGACTCAAACACCACCCACATTTTTGGGTATCAGTAGTATAGATAACTAAACCACTAAAATATTTGCTTATTATCATTATCAAATATTATGTACTGGATATTACTATAAATGTTATACGTTGATATGAATGCCAGCTCAAAGGTATTACCACAAACATGTGAGTAATGCTTTGCTTGACCTTACGATGGCCACAGCATCACTAGATGAAAGGAATTTTTCAGCTCCATTATAATCTTGTGGGACCACATCACTGACCAAAACATCATCATGTTGTGCACGACTATATATACATACAGATACTTCTTACTGGTTCTGTTTCTCTAGAGAACCCTGACTGATATACTCATTTATGATACAAATCTTTGGCAAACTAAGAATAGCTGAGAACTTCTCAATATGATCAAGAATGTATAAAAAAAACCCCACAAAATCTAACATTCATATGGTGCTAAATTGGACACTTTCTCCCTCAAAACAAGGCAAATATGCAGAAAAGAATTAACAGAGTAAACCTAAGACCGCTTCCCTTACAAAGTCCTGCTTGCAATTTGGCCCTTGCCTGGCATCTGAGAACTTAGATTTTGAGAGACTTCCCCCTTCTCCCTATCTGAAACCTAAACTGGTTTGTGGTACCTAAATTGTGCAAAAAATATGGTTTATTCTGAACATCTCTTACCTCTGGGAATTGGGAATTTTGATGTGCATAGGAAGAGAATGCATACATGACCAGGCCCCCGTGAATACCCTGGGCATTGAACTTTAACAAGCTGATATCCAGTAATATTTCATACCTTTTATTGCATCTGGATGGGCCATGGTACCATCTCTCACCAAATAGGATGTGAATGGATCAGTCTGTCTTTTTTATGAAGGCAACTGGTTGTAGAGGGTCCAGCATTTGACTTCAAGACCTAGGGGATATCAGAGAGATAAATGGAAGGAGACTAGATTTATGAATCACTGCTTAGGGGAGATCCTTATACAAATCTGGAACAATTGAACTTTACCAAAGAAGAAATAAACCCTGTTTTATAAACCACTGAAACTCTTTCCTGTTACAGTAAACAGCATTGCCTTAATAAATACAGATACAATAGTTATAAGAGGTGTGGGAGAGATTTGTATATTGGAAGGCTAATATTTAAAAATAAGAAAAATCTTTATTTAAATGAGTTAACTTTCAAACTTAAAATGTTCAATAAAGACTAATTACTAAAGCAGAAGGAATTTTAAAGGTATGAAGCTAATAGAAACTAGGACCCTAAAATATGCTATAGAAAGAAATGAAAATTGAATATTACTCATTAAAAAGTGATAAAATTGGCAAAATTATTTCAAGTTTGAAAAAAGAGCAAAAGGAGAGATGGAAAAATGTTTGAGGGTTAAAAGTAAATAAATGTTGATGCAATAGATATTAAAAAGATAGCAAGATAACATAACTATCTTCTGCTGAAAATTTAAAAACATTTTAAATGATAAATATCTAGAAAATTCTAGTTTTACAAAAACCGACACAAGAAGAATTAAAAAACTATTAATATTCTTAAAAGTATTAAACAATTGAGTCAAGAATTAAAAATCCGCCGAAACCGGTTTGGCTCAGTGGATAGAGTGTCGGCCTGCGGACTGAAGGGTCCGGGGTTCGATTCCGGTCAAGGGCATGTACCTGGGTTGCGCGCACATCCCCAGTGGGAGATGTGCAGGAGGCAGCTGATCGATGTTTCTCTTTCATCGATGTTTCTAACTCTCTATCTCTCTCCCTTCCTCTCTGTAAAAAATCAATAAAATATATTTTTTTAAAAAAATTAAAAAAATTAAAAAAAAAGAATTAAAAATCTCACTCATCTCCACTGTCCCCCAATGTAGGCTCAGATAATTTTACAGAGTTCAATCAGGTTTTCCAGTCTTATCTAAAATATTCTAATAATAAAAATATGTTAAAGGACCCTAATTTTTATTTTATACTGAATAAGATTGACACCATAATTTTAAAAAGCAAAATAAAAAATTAAAGCAGCCCAGCCAGTGTGGTTCAGCGGTTGAGCGTTGACCTATGAACCAGGAAGTTACGGTTCAATTCCTGGTCAGGGCACATGCCCAGGTAGCGGGCTTGATCCTAGTATTTTTGTGCTTGCTATAAAATCTTGCCTATTGCAAGTTGTGACATGGACTTGAGACCTACTGTAAACTGTGTGTATTCAAAATGATCACTGTACCTCTTTTAATAATTTGATTTTGATTCTTAAAATTTCTCCATCCATATAATATCAGAGTAGCTTTATTTATCCTTCCAATTTCTATCTGAAAATTCTACCCTTTAGGAAACCCATAATGAGTATTGTTTCCTATTACCAAGAATTTGCTTTCTAAATGTCATACAAAAGTGACTAACATCAGCCATCTGTCCTGATTAGACTACAGTCTTTTGTTGTAATAATTTGGATAACATGAGGCATTTTTGTGTGCCCCTTTTTCAGTTTGATTTCCCAAACTCGCTCATGTCAGCACCAGTGCATGTGGTAGGGAAGTGTTTTTATTAAAAAACTAGAGGCCCGATGCATGAAATTCGTGCAAGGGGCTCAGCCCTCACAGCCCCAGCTTCGTCCAGAAGGTCGTCTGGAAGGACGTCCAGAAGGTCATTCGGCTGTCTGGTCTAATTAGCATATTATGCTTTTATGATTATAAATATGACTGACAAACCTTAGCAGGTTTTGCTCAGTGGATAGAGCATCAGCCTGTGGACCAAAGGGAATCCGATCAAGGGCACATACCTTGGTTGCAGGCTCCTCCCGGGCTCAGGTCCTGGTCAGGGCTAGTGCAGGAGGCAACCAATCAATGTGGTTCTCTTACGTGGATATTTCTCTCTGTCCTTCTCTCTTCCACTCTCTCTAAAAATCAATGGAAATATATCCTTGGGTGAGGATATAAAGTAAGGGTTTTTACTTTCCCTATGACCATTTTAAAAAAAAATAAATCTCCAAACTTCTCATATTCTAACCCCTTCCTGTCTACTCCTGGCTTTAACTTTCTTGACATGGTCATTAGCACTTTATAACACAATGTTTTTGTTTATTTCACATTCCCAATATGTTCTGTTCTATAGTAAATTATATTATCAAAACCTTTATTTGTGAATTAAAAATTCAGTGCCCTCATTATTTAATTTTTCAAAACAATTAAGTGTAATCTAGTTAGGTTCTGGTTGGTCCTCTTTAAGAAACCATTGGCAAAAAACAGTCTTTAAATGATCCTGAGGTAAAGGGTAAGTGGAAATTTAAGGAACTATTCTTTAACAGACAAGGAAATAGCTACCAAAGATGACCTCACAGGGAGAGTCTTAGATGTCAAATTTATTGAGACATAATAAGATTTAGAAAAGACAAAAGAAAATGTGTGAAATTCTGTTATTTTTTATTAGGAATTTCTACCTTTTCAGCAAACAAGATTAGGCTGTCCTTTAACAGAGAGAGACTGGTGTGTGACTGGGCTATAGTGAAAAGCAGAAATGTCCTCCAAATCAACTCTTATTTCCAATAAGAGCTGCCTTAATATTATTAAGTTACTATGTGCTAGTAAAATGCACTCCTGTTAACTCCCACAATGGGAAGCTATGTTTTATGAAAACAAATGTTTATTTTCCTATTTGTGGAACATGAAGTTTTATTTTCAGTCAGATGAAGAAGTAGACTCTAAATAAATCATTTTATTTTGTCCAATACCTCCTAAAATAGGAGCATTCTTCTTTCATTGAAATTGGATAATAGACTCTCTACTATATTAGAGATAAAACTCTATCACAATTAATAATGTATAAATAAAAATTGATAATCTGGTATCTCAAGATTTTGGGTAGAAGGGAGGGGTGAATTGATTTTGAAGTAGATGCCAGGTTTTCTGCCAGATCCTGCATTATTTCTATTCTAAGAATTTACAAGTACTGGATGGTAATTGAGCATTTATTATAATTGAGCATTTATTACTTATTATATAATAGCAAGGCATTATTATACATGATAAGTCCCTGTAATTTCCCCCCACAGAAGTGTTGCCTTTATCATACAAAATATACCTTATGAATATGCTAATGACTTTTGCTTCTTTTGAATTTTGAGAGTTTCATAAACCTCCAAATATTCTTACTCTAAACACTTCATTTACATATTTTTTAAAACTAGAATTAATTTTCATTTAAAAAATAATTATATTAACAATATAAACTGATATTTATAAAAAAGATTCTGAAACAGAGAGAAATAAAGAATAAGTATAATTCATAAAATTATACTAATTTATTAGACTAAACTTATATGTAGATTTTTATGTACTGAAGTTATTAAAGATAATCCACTACACACAGTGAAATAGAGATTATAAGGTCCTTTGTCTTCTGCATGGTGAAGTGAAGGACTGAATGAGCTAATAATATATTTTTGCCTGCCTGAATAGAAAATACATATTCTTGCTTAGTCTGTGTTGAAACTTTGCAAAGCTTTGATACCTGTAATATATAACTCAGGCCACCTTTTTTTTTGAGTCCAGAGGTTGGGGAGATTGAGATTGAAAAATGAAACCATAATACTACTACTTAATTTGCTAAGAACTTTACTAATTTCTGTGTTTTGCACAAAAAATCACAACTGGTATTCATAACAACTCTGTGAGATAAATATAAAGATATTTCTATCTAAGACTCAAGGGAGAATTTGAACAATGTTTAAATTGACATTTAAACTTTGACAAGTAGTTGTCACAGATTCATGATATGTTCTGAATCATGGGCTCCTAAACCTAAGATAATCCCCCCCCGCCTCCCCCAGCTATTAATCTAGGCCTAAATATTTCTGTTAATATTTTACAGGTTCATATTTTAATTTAAGGCATTAATTAAGAATCAAGGAAGCTGAGTTGTGATTTTTCCTCAAGACTATTTGTCCCAATAAAGCATTTCACGTTCCTATATCACTTACTTTCTCAAACTGAAACTGAGACAGTTAAGGGTGGTTGGGACAGCTAACTTTAAATTGGGCAAGTGAAATATATGGACAGATAATTTGAGAATTATTTAGTGAAATACAACTTAGAAGAAGCTTATGCACTGTATCTCAACCTAAACGAAAAGATATGCTTGAAAGTAGTTTTTAAGTTGGTCTTTTATCGATAGGCTAATTGCCATGTATTACCATTGTGTGATTAATATGAAATTTATGTGCAATTGGAAAAGAAACACAGGTGATGAAATCTGGGAGACTTATTCAATGTTGGTTGTTCTTGAAAAAATTTCTAAGTTTTCTTTTAAGTGAAGGAAATGGTATCAATAAAATAATAATTATTTTTTGAAAATTATAATTATACTTTAACTTTTAAAACATGATATTAAAAATACTTTGTAAAAAGTAAAACACTTTTAATATCACTTCTGATTTTAATGTCTTATGAAATGGATTATCAAAGCCTTTTGAAATAAATTTAACATGAACAACAATGGCTTCTCCTGCCAGCTGTCTTTGGAAGAATGAAGACAGGATGGATTATAGGAGATTGGAAACCCACAGTGTTGCAAGAGCTACAAAACCAAATCACATCATGGAATGAAACCTCAAGCTCACAGGAAAGTGACTTTCACAGAGTATTTTTCTGAATGCAATTTTCTTTTATTATTTTTTGTGAGGAAGAGCATGATTAGTGACAAAGGGGGAGGAAATGTATTGAAAACAAAACCCTGAAAACAACATGATAACTACTTTCTATTTCTGAAAAACATTTTTCTTAAATTTGTTCTGAAAAATACATGAAATATAGAAATTGCTCTTATATAGCTTTTCATTGTAAAAAAAATGAGGCAAGTAAATGTCAAAAAAGAAAAAGTGAGAAACAGAAGATATAAAAGTAGGGATTTCAGGCTAAATCTACTTGTGATATTAACAAGTCATTGAATTTTCATGCTGTATGATAGCCATTTTTGAAAATAAATTCATGTGTAATTTTATATAATGAAACACAAAAACATGTGCCATCTTTTGTGTAGAGTATTAAAATAACATATATTAAAAATAAATGGTATAGTTTTAATAAGGCATCAATTTGTTCTTTGGTATTTGAATATTATTTCTTTTTACTTCAAAAATATCTTATACTTAAAAATATAATTCTATAAATTAAACACATTTATATAGTTAAGAATAAATTTTATTCTTAAAAGCATGTTTCTTGCCTTCATTTTAATTTATTTTTATTAGGATAAAAATGATAAAATTAAGTGATTCCATGCCTGAAATATATATTACCGATGACATTTTTTTTAACCTTCTCCAGATGGAATCCTAAAATAAGTAATTATCTTTTGAAAATAATTAAAATAGCCAAATATTACTTATTTTTTGTAGGTACACAAAACTCCGGAATCTGTCTTTACCAAATGATAGATATTAATGAAAGATTCAGATTTCTAAAAGAGAAGTCTGGCCATGCCCACTTTTCTGCTTGTGGGGAAAATAATCTCAATGATATTCAGACTGGTTAACGACGAAGTTCCATTCAGTCATCTTCAATCTAAATTCAATCTAACAACTTACGTGATTTACCAGCAATAAATTATCTATTTGACATAGAATAATCACCCTTTGGACATTTGCTGAAACTTCCTGCTCTGCTTCTACTTCCTTTGGACGTGTCTCATTCTCCCTGTGGTAGAGACTAAAAGTGCTGCATGGGCTTAAGGTGCTCTTGGATCACTCCTAGCATTTTTATCCCAACATATTGTAGAACACATTCCACTTTTGCTTTCTTTTATATAGCTTATAGTTTTTACATGTAGGTCTTAATTCTCAAGTGAGACTCTAATAGTTTCATTGAGGATAGAGTCGCCAAGACTTTTTTTCCATCTCTCTCAGGACTTGGAATAGGATCTTAAATATGGTGCTCATTTAGAGGGCCTTAGTCAATTCATAAGTGTTAGAATACATTAATTTTTTTTGGAAATTAAGGCATCCGAAATAGCACTTTGAAAATGCCAGTAGATGATTTAGATTAAGAATTTGCAGTATTTTTACATAAGAAAAATTGCTTGTTTTATTAAGGTGGCACTAGCTATTGTGGCCCAATTTTCTTATTTCCAAAGCTAATATTGCTGGGCAATAAGACTAAACCATGCAATCCTGTCAGTGTTGCTCAGTGATTGAGCGTCAACCCATGAACCAGAAGATCACACCGTTTGATACCAGTCAGGGCACATGCAAACCATCCAATGAACTCATTTTAAATTATAAACTGCATACCTTCCTCACAGGATATAATTTCAAGAATCCTTGAGTGACTATTTTCTCCATTAAATTTCACCCAAGACTTTAAAAAATGGATCATTACTAAAATATTTTTGATGTCTCTGTAGTATTGAAGGGCAAAAGTCCTTTATTTCCATAAACTCAGCGAAGTGAAAAGGTATAATTCTTACTCGCTAACTTAAAAGCATTTTTTGGAACTTCTTAAAAAATGATCTATTTTTTCTCTCATCTCTTCCTTTATTAAAAAACTACATATTTCATTGATATAAATCAAAGCAAGAACACTCATTTCCAAATGTTAAAATCATTGGTACTGATATTTTTATCTTTAAATTATGTATTTGGAATACTTGAAAAAGTGAGTGGGTTCTGTGCTGGTTATGCTAGTCAAATGCTTGTGAACTACTTCAGATTGTATAGTTTGTGAGATTCCTAATCCTATAGAACAAAAAGATTTACCTTGTGCAGATGAGGTAGAAAATAAAAGTTGAAATGGTCTTGTTTCCTTCAAATAATATTTAAATTGTCTTTCTCCCTAAAGGGTCAAAAAAAGGAAATTTGAATTTGAGTCAGATCTCTCAACAACTGTTCTGAGGTTTGTTCAATTAAAATTGAAAGCCAAGTAAGTTCATTCAACGTTACCAAATCTTGAAACTAAGTACAATTTAAGTTTGAAACTTAGGATTCTTCCCTCTTTCCAGAATATGTAGCTTTAGAGTTCTGATTTGTTGAAAAGCTGATCAAGTACTATCCATACTAATAAGCAGTTGAAAAGTTATCCCCAAAAGGCATTGGATCTATGCACATCCTTCTATACTCATTACCATGCTCAGTTAATTGCTGATTTTTGATGGTTGCTGAAGTGAATAGTCTACCTACATTTCTGCTTGTTTTCCCTATATATTCAGCTAAACCAGACAAAAAGAAAACAAGCTACACACATCAGTGCAGGTCTATACAAACAAAACAATGAGCAGTGGTATATTTAATCTTTCCATATTGCTACTAAGAATTTTGGACCCAATATGAGTCTCTCCTTCTACCCAGATTTTTGACTACATTGCATTACGCTAAGCATATAAGTCAAAGAATGTGTTAGTATTTAATAGCTGCACTGTGACCATTAAATCACTTCTAAAATAATGATTTATTACTGCTTGATAATTTTGTTCTGTGTAACCACCTCTGTGAATTAGATTCAATCTTTGACAGCACTGAAAGTTAGGCTGAGGCTGGATACAAAATGAAGGTCAAAAATTGTCCATTAAATTCTACCTGAATCTTCCACATGCTGTATACTAAAGGTTTGTATACTTCTTGTATTTGGGTCATATCAATATCCAAGTCACTATTATAAATATTCCTTTATTCTCCAATATTCTCCAAGAAAAGTTATGTGCACATATATGCGTGTTTATGTCAATGCAATTTCTCCCAAAATATTTTCCTCCTGTACCACGTTTTAAGAAAGTCACAATTTAACTTTGTATAGAGCCTTTTCTTAGGGAAAATTTCCTCTTCATTCTCATCTTTAAATCTGTATTTTGTACAGATTTGTTATAGAAATAATTTCTGATGGTAGATGTTTAGCAATTTCTGCAAGATCTATTAATGTTTTACTGTTTTCACAAATATTGGAATTTATAAATTAGCATAAGAAAATCTTGGATAAAAATTTATTGTAACAATTTCTATTTCCTCTACTTAGCAGTCACCATTTAGTATTGCCTCTGTGGGTAAAAAATTATCTTATTAGAAAGAAGTAAATTTATTTCAAAGTTATATTTTATTTAGATCTATGAATATAATTATGACATACAAAATGTGCTGAGCACATTAGTGATTCCATAGCTGATTCCATATGAAATCATATATGGTTCCAGAGTTGATTATCCATGGTTAGTGAATGCTCAGAGTTGATGTGTCAACTCTTTGCTCACTAAACATTTCGAGAATTTTCTCCTAACATTGATAAACTTGAGTTTTTAAAGCAAGGTATTGAATGTTGAATGATTTCAGTGCATTTGCAAAGCATTTATACATCATTATTGTGTGCGTGTGTGTGTTTTACTAAAAGTAGCAGAATAAAAAATGAGACCCAATCCATATTTATGATAATAATATAATTGCCTAGTTTCAGAGGTCATATAAAAATAATGTTTGTGATGCTTTCATTAATAAAATTCTAAAAGAAATCAACATAGAAACAATATTTCAATACTACAGTAGCTCCATTTTGCCTCCACATTAGATTTTATATCAGGGACTTAGAAGCAATCCGTTATCATTAGCATGTGCAATTAAAAATTAGATGGATCTGGCTGGTTTTTTTTCTACAAAAGCAGGGAAATATTTTAGTAAGACCCTTGGCTTTTATGTAAATGGTTATACGTACAGATACATTTTCATCGTTCAAATCCTCATTTGTAAAGTTACTGGGTGAATAATAAACACAAACGAGCAAAACAATATAAAACAAAACAAAAGCTGTGGATGGTTTATCAAGTCTAAATCCAAAAGCCTACTGGACTCCTGAAACCTGGCCTTCCTGGTCCTCTTTGCATAGGAAAATCAAAATACCAGGATTCATAAAATTCTCCCCAAGGTTGACCCTTCCTTCGGGATGAGTGTGGCCCAACATTTCCATAATCAGAGTAGGTACCTCCAGAGGTTATTCCCCAAAGCCCCTGAGTGTCTCTTTTGATTTAGCTTTTTGCCAGAACGCACTGTTGTGATATAAAAAAGCGATAAAGTAGTATCTGGAAAGTTAAAATGTTATAAAAAATTAAATTACATTTTATTCCTCAGGCTTAAAACACAAATTGAGAATTATTCAAATTAAACTTACTTCCCATACCTCAAAACTGAAATATGATAGCACAGGGCAGTTACGAACAGAGGCAAATATTCAAAGTTTTGCACATAGGTAGAATCAGACAGAAAGTGTCATATAGCTTTTGAGGACACTGTAATATGATAAATTTGAAGAGCAAACAAAATAACACCCCCTTGAAATTATTCTTCGTTGTGGATTTCAATTAATACATAAATGTGGTCATTTTTGGCTAATAGGACCCTATGCTATGAATTGTTATTTCAAGATCAATAGCAACAACCATAAATATTATCTAAACAATTTGGGTGCAAAACCCCAAAGAAATTCTAAGAAAATTAGCTGATTTGGAAAAATATTAAAATAACTAAACCTGTTTATTATATGTATAGTTAGTAGTTGCTTCACTGTTGAAGGTTTATGCAATTCTCCCATAATACATTTTATTCAAAACGTATGCAACTATACATTTATATGCCAATGGAATTAGAAAATTAGATGGTGTCTGCAAGCCTTTATGTAACAAAAGTTTATCGTGGGCAAAGCATTTTTGCAGATACTTATGGATCCTCACACAAGCCTGTGAGGTAGGGAGGAAAGCCATCTTTACAGTTCGAACCCTAAAGCTCAGAAACTTTGGGGACATCTCCAAGAATAATACGTGTGAATCTCCTTTGTTGTTGTTTGCTCCTAGTCTTACATATTTTCCTGCAGATCCCAAGCATATAAGGGCTAATCAGTCAGTGAGATGGGACAAATCTGAACCTATGTAGGGAATAAAAGTCAATATTAAGTCTATAAGGTATTGGGGATAATCTTTTCGGACTACATTCTTATCTGGCGATGTATATATTTTCGATGACTGGCCATGCCATAAGTAAGCCAACTGTACTGAAGTCTAAACAAATTACAAAATTTCTGACAACTAATTTTAGTTACAGGAATGATCAAATCTTCTGATTTAAACATACTAAAACCAATGGGGTCCAGGGGGAGGGAGAAATAGAGTTCCCCAAAGGTTTGAACAGGGTGAGGTTTATAGCTACTTTTTAGATCAAATCTTTCCCTGATATTTCAGATTATCTGAGTATACCATAAACCATTCATTTTATCAATTTAATAAAAAGTGTTTTTTTTTTCTTTTAAAATAAAAGGGAGCCTGTGGGACAGAAACAACCATCTCTGTGCTTCAGAGCGGTGCACAGTCAGTGCATAGAAATTGCATACATTATAGTGCAAGCAGCAAATCCCCATGCTCCATCCATTCCGTATGGAGAAAAGAAGTGGGGAGGGCAAAGAAAAATGGCCCATACAAGTCTGTGACAGAGTGGCCTAATAGACTGGGTATCTCTCACGTCACTTAAACATAAGACGAAGCTAATGAGATCTGTCACAATAACAGAGCATGGGTCTCAAAAGTCCACCCAGAAAAGTGGACAAGGAGGTCTTGATTACCTTCTCAAGTTTTATTCTGCAGTGAACCACCCCTAGAAATCAGTCATAAGTGAGTTTGAACCTTTCTACTTCGTTTTGTTTTGGGGAAAAAAAATCACAAGGTATTGAAACGAATATCATTGTTTGGTTGAATCCAGGTATTCTTAAGTAAACAGTACCACAGACTTTATTGAGCAATTGAAAATATACACAAGGTACAATAGCTTTTTCTCTGTTTGTGTTGTTTTGTTTAATTTGACTTTCTTCTGATTAAATAACCCAGTTTCGATCATGAAAAGGGCACTTGTTTCTACAGTGGCTGTGTACAGCTTGCTCAGTTCCAAGTACTGTTCCCACACTTCTTCTTTGTCATGGCTGAGGTTATGTCTTCACTTGCTCAGGCAGAAAATTCTAGAATGTTGAAAGAATGGCCCCCCTAAGTTGTTCTTTCAGATTCCATTTCTCCATAGAGTTCAGCCAACTTTTTAAACTCTGGTCCCCAGTCCCCAAGGTACTGATAATCCTGGTCTGACTGTGTAGTGGCTGAGTCCAGGGAGCTGATAGAACCAGCTTCTGATCTCTGACCCTCATAGGCATAAGTCTGAAGAGAGTCATAAGGAGGGACACTGGGGTCTAGGTCAGCTTCTGCCAGTCTCTGTTTGATGAATTCCTGAACATCTATACTTTCCAGGGTGGACAATGTCTGGTGTCTGGGCGTGAGTTGCACTTCAGGTCTGATATCTCTCCGGTATTTGAGCTCCTCAGCTGCAGACGGATTCCTCAAGGCGGTGATGTCAAAGGCCTCAGTGTCTTCCTCCCCGCCCCCTTCGTCATCATAGGTGACCACATTCTCCCGCACATCCTCCTCTGAAATGATCAGGGGCTCTTTTTTGCTGCGTCTCAGGGTGATAAAAAGTACTACAATCACTGAGGAAAAGGGAAAGAGAAGGAAGAATTAGAGAAAAAAAAAGAGGGAATTGGTGGGGATTTGACATCAGCAATTTCCAACCCTTGTCATCAACTACATCCCATTCAGGCTTGCATTGTAACACAACCCTGATCTTTGCACTCTCTGAATAACACCTCAAGGTTTTTTTTGTTTTGTTTTTTTTTAATATCACAAATAATTAAAAAAATAGTTACCCTTATAAAACATTAGGAATTTCTGATCTTTTCTAGAATGCCACAGTGTTCTCATTTGCCAGGCTTATGCATTTGGGATTGCTATATAGCCATTCAGTGTTTACACGGAGACAAACTGATGATGGAAATGAAATATGAAATTTTGACTAGAAAAATGATGGTGTGTGGATCTACCTACAGATACTTAGTTTTTCTAGGGAGATACACTGAAGACAGGCTATTTTAAAATCTTTTTTTAAAAAAAAAATACATATTTCTATTGATTTTAGAGAGGATGGAAGAAGGACAGAGAGATAGAAACATCAATGTTGAGAGAAAATCCTCCATCCACTGCCTCCTGCACGCCTCCTACTGGGGATTGAGGCTGCAACCCAGGCATGTGCCCTGACTTGGAATTGAACCTCTACACGCCTCCTACTGGGGATTGAGGCTGCAACCCAACCATGTTCCCTGACTGGGAATTGAACGTATATTTTCTGGTTCATAGGTCAATGTTCAACCATTGAGCCACACTGGCCAGGCAACAGGATATTTTAAGTTTCTATAAAATAGGAAGGGGTTTCTGCCATAAATCCTGTACTTTTGATGCTTTGTTGGAAACCAAAGCAGGGATATTTTACATGGTTGATCTCTTTTGTCCATTTTCCTTTAGAAAAATAGCATCATGCATTAATAATTGCATTTTCTATCAAGCTGCAAAGGTGTTATTTTATCTGTATATAATTTAGATTTCCTAGGAATTTTTCAGTTGGCACGTTGTTCTTTACATGATGTCTTTACTTAATCTTCACAACAGAGCTGGGGCTTTGCTCATTTTAAACATGAGAAAACTGAGACTTAAGAGTGCTCACATGAATTTCTACAATCTAAGCCTAAGATCGCACAAGTGGCAGGTGGGAAAGCTTGGACCAGAATCTATGACTTCTCACATCAAAGGTCATGATGTTCCCATTACCACATTCTGCTTTATTATTTAAAAAAATATATTTTAATCTGAAATTCATATTTTTATATGGCATTTTGTTTATTTTTTTAATTTTGATATACTCTATTTTATTTGGCAATCCTAATTATATGTAAGCTTTAAGTGGTTGTAAAACAAACACTGGGTTAGGTAATCTGTAGTTAAGAACATACCCAGTACTTTAGAAACTTTCCTTTTACCCCTTATTTCTAAAAAGTAATGGGAAGAGATTAACCAAAGAACTTGTATGCATATATGCACAACCCATGGACACAGACAATAGTGTGGTGAAGGCCTGGGTGGTGTGTGTGTGGCGGGGGGGGCGGTTAGAAGGGGTCAATGGGGAAAAAGAGGGACCTCTGTAATACTTTCAACAATAAAAAAATAAGAAATTTAAAAAAGAAAGCTTGCTGAATCTACTACTAGTTGATCTTAATGTTATTTTGATGATGAAAATGGAGATCACATGACTTTATGGAACTCTAGGACCCCAATTGTGATTGGCTTAGATGTTCATAGATCTACTGGGTAGATTCCTTCCTTCTCCAAACTGGGCTGATGTGGAGATTGGAACAGAAATTAAAAGTATTGTTCTGATAAATAAAAAGCAACTTCTAGTCTTACTTTTATTGTTATTGTCTCCTTGCTTCTCTTTATTGTTTAACCCCTTTAGTGTATGCCCCTAAGCAATACAGATCACCTTTGTCTATATTTGAAATAGATATCATAATGTACATGTGCTTAATACTTCAAAATATGGAGAGTAAGAGGAATAGATTTTCAAGCCATAAGTGGAAAGGATAATTATGAGACAGAAATCTACTACTATACATGTAAAAAGAGATGGTCACAGTACACTGGGAGGAATCTGATTTTATAAAAAAAGGCACATTGGAGGCTATGAGGATGAAGAAAAAGAGGACAAAACATTTTTAGATAGAATCAAAGAATTACCTCAAGAAGTATGGAATAAAAGGATCCTGACAATTTAATGGGAAAACGTAATAGGGGGAAACTGTAGCAGGCACAGGGAAGCTTTGGGTCACTGTGTTTGAAAGGAGTCATTACAGCAAACTGAAAATGAAATGCTGATGCTATGCAGGCCTGCTTCACAAAAACTATCCTACAGAATGAAACAGTTTCCAATCCACATTGCTTATACTTCAAAGACATTTTCTAACACAGCACTTTTTTTAAAAAAGAAGGAGATTAGCACTGAATGTAGTAAATATACATTTAATACTTCACTGTTTACGTTAGTGTAAATCCAGCCTAGAGCTTTCTAATTCAATGACCTAAGCAGCATCCTCAAGGAGCCGACTTCATTGTATTCATTGGTTTAGATTTATCATCCACTATATATTTCTGCTCATCTTTATGATTAAGTGATGAGGCTGTTCTAGATTAAAATATCTATTGCTACACACTGCCTAATTTATTGTAGCTAAATTTCTATCGTCTGTCAAGCACTGAATGTAGTAAATATACATTTAATACTTCACTGTTTACATTAGTGTAAATACAGCCTAGAGCTTTCTAATTCAATGGCCTAAGCAGCATCCGCAAGGAGCCAACTTCATTGTATTCAGAGGTTTAGATTTATCATCCACTATATATTTCTGCTCATCTTTATGATTAAGTGATGAGGCTGTTCTAGATTAAAATATCTATTGCTACACACTGCCTAATTTATTGTAGCAAAATTTCTATTGTCTGTCAATAAATCAAGTTATTTTCCTTTATGTTGAAATAATGGGTGGTTGATGTCAAGGGGATTTATGTGCATATACAGCAGAAAGAACTCGATCAATGCTATTGTCAAAGTACGGAGGTAATTTTCATGTCACCAATATTAGTATCATATTTGCCTAATGAACATAGGGAATAATGCTGGGTTTATTATTATGATAGTTTATGCTTGCTTATTCCCCCAAACGTAAGAAAATATTCCTGATATATTTTGATCCAAAATGTAGATACTAGTTAAGTTTGAATTTTGAGAATTTACATCTATTTCTTTCCAGAATAGTTATTTTCCAGTGACCAATATTCCTGGATTTGTTACCTGCGGATTTGATATGGGGATCAACATATAATTAATCATACAATCTGAAACACTTTTAAGAGTGAAAAGAATGTTGTTTATAAGGATATCAGGACAAATATGAACACATGGTCCTCTAGTCAAAGGCAATTTCAAATCAAATCAGAGAAGCCTGGCCAGTGTGGCTCAGTGGTTAAGCATTGACTTATGAATGAGGAGGTCACAGTTCAATTCCTAGGCAGGGCACATGCCCAGGTTACGGTATTGATCCCCAGTATGGGGCATGCAAGGGCAACCAATCAATGATTCTCTCTCATCACTGATGTTTCTATCTCTCTCTCCCTCTCCCTTCCTCTCTGAAATCAATAAAAATATATAAAAAATATTGGATAAGAATGTGGAAACATAGATGAGATGTGCTTTTGATGACTTTTTACACACATCGTTGTGGTTAAGTAGGTGTTTCTAGAGCAGAAAGCACACAGTAGTTATCCCATAAACAATTCTCATGTGGATGACAAAGAATCACCTGTATAAAACTGGCAATGTTGCATTGTATAAGTGAAACTTCATGCATAGTAATAGCCTCAGTGAGAAAATAATTTTAAAATATAGTTTAAATCAGCGTATGGTTACTAATGATACCAAACACATAATTTCACTTGAAAACATTTTTTTTTTAATATTTGAAAATCAAACTAAATGTTTTCTAAAAATTTCAAGAGCAGATTTATTAAAGGAGAATGACTGAAGATAATATTTATACACATAGATTTGAGAGTTAAATCTTTATTTAAAAACTGGCAATGAAATGAATATATTGAAATGACTCCCTCCCCTCCCACCAGTCTATCAAACCATACATTGAAGGCATGGTATCTCTTCCTACAGTGGGTCATCTGGGAAAACAGAATATGATAAAGCCACTGGGTTGACGAGAAACAGAAATTGTTTTTCTTTTTTTAAAAAAAAATATTTTTATTTATTTCAGATAGGAAGGGAGAGGGAGAGAGAGATAGAAACATCAATGATGAGAGACACTTATTGATCGGCTGGCTCCTGCACGCCCCCCACTGGAGATCGAGCCCATAACCTGGGCATCTGCCCTTGACTGGAATAGAACCCGGGACCCTTCAGTCCGTAGGCCAATGCTCTGTCCACTGAGCCAAACTGGCCAGGTCAGAAATTGTTTTTCTTCATTCAAAATTATCAATAATTTATGATATTATGAAGTTTGGTTATATGATCTGGACTGAAACATGAGTAAACTGTATTATTTTGAGAAGTCTTTATTTTAATGAATATTTTATTCTTTG